AAAAGTGAGAAATCACCCCCCAGGGAGAATGCCTGCCACAATCCTTTCTCCTCCTCCATTCTCCTCTTCGGATTTTGGGCATGCACACACACACACACCCCTGGTGTGAGTTCTAAGCCACTGGGTCTGGGACTCAAGCTATGGTAGACCACACAGGAGTTTAGTGGTATAACAGCTATGCCATCTGCTGTTCCCAGACTTTGGGCCTTGTAGGCAGAACTCTTGGTTGAAAGTCAGGAAACCAACTCTAAAAAGGTTAATCAAGACAACAGAAATTTGTTTCATTTAACTGAAGTCTAGGGTGAGCACTAGCGTCAGGCCTCCAAAAGATGTCTCCAAAGCCTTGATTTGATTCTCTTGGTTGTTTCCTTCTCTGTCGACTTCATCCTCAGCTGGCTGCCTCTATGTGGTAGGAGAATGGGGCTCTCAGCAGTTCCAAGACTATGTGGCCCTTCTAGCTCCAGATGGAAAGAATCTTTCCTGATAGCTCTGACAACTGTTCCAGGACTATAGGCTCATTTGTGGAGCCAGGCAGGAAGGTGAGTTTCAACCAAGTCCAATTGGTCAAGTAGGAATATTGAAGAATGGGAAAGGGATGGCTCTCCAAAGAAAGTTTGGGAAAATAAAATATTTGCTCACTGTGCCAGGCAAAGCTATAAAGCTCATAGAGACTCAAACGTAATTTCAGCCTAATAAATACTTGCAGAATCAATGTAGAAAACACATAAAACAAAGCTGGTGCAGTGTACTTTTAAAGCATCACGTTCCAAACTCTAATTTCATATTTTAGAGAAGCAATAAAACACAATTGAAGTCAGACACCAAGGTCCTTAGTGAGATAACACTTTAGCAGACAGCAACTTCAATCAAGCATAGATTGCTTTTTGTTTTTTATTCCATCTATTTTACACACAAGAGGCACAGTGCTCTGTAAGAAGGCACCCTGCCTCCCTTTCCCCCACAATTTAGCCATCAGAAAAGCTAAGCTTGTCCAGCATGAAGGAAGAAGGCAGGTCGATATGACAGATCCCTGCTTCCAGCAAACATTTTGAAAACCTTTCCTTCTCATTTAAACTGATGGTAATCTGGTGGGTTTCGGATCCAAGGCTCAAAGGCCTGCTTCCGGAGTGTGCTCCAGGCCTCTTGGTAAGCAGATGCAGCCTCCTTGTACTCCTGGTAGGTCTCCAGCTTCTGCACCCTAATGCACACACACCACCAAGACACAGGTTCTCACTGGACAGATCAATAGTAAGAGATCTAGGAACAGAAGGATTTTAGTGGGTTTTCCTAGAGCAGCTCTATTTCCTTTGTAGGGAATTCACTAGAAAGCAACATGAATTAAAACCAGTAAGAATGGCCTAGCTGTGGTGGTAACTGCAGCTGGGATGTTGTGCTCCACAGGCTAAGACCACATTGGGGGCCTGGGCACGGTTCCTGGTCCAACCTAAAGGCTGGGCACAGTGGCATGTGCTTATAATCCCAGCCACTTGGTGAGGCTGAGGTAGGAGGACTGCGACTGTCTGAAAGGGCTCGCATGGTGGTGCACATCTGCAGTTCTAGCTGGGGGCTCAGGCAGGAGGACATGGTAACGCCCTGTCTTTGGAGAGGGTTTTTTTTTTTTTTTTTTTTTTTTTTTGCTATAGGGCGTGTGCGCTTGCCAGAAAGACAGAGAGAGACAGAGAGACAGAAAGTGTGAAATCACCCCTCAGGGGGGGACGGCCACGCTGCAATCCCTTCTCCATTCTCCTCTCGGGATCTTGGGCACGCACGCACATGTGCCCGGCGTGAGTTTAAGATGCCGGGTTCGGGACTTGAACCACGGTCAACTACGTGGGAGTCCACCGACATAGCCATTATGCTAACTGCTGGTCCCAACACCCTGTCTTAAAAACAAGTCAAACTGGGACTGGCAGGTGGCATGGTGGTTAAGGTGCTGGACGCCCACATGGCTGGCCACTGTTTGAGTCCCAGACCTGGTGGATTGTTTACTCCCTTTCCTTCTCTCTGTCTCTCTGGTCAAATTAAAATAAATGAATGAGCTGAGTTCCAGTTCCAACCTTAGCCCTTTATAATTCTGCATCACCAAACTACCTGTCCTCTAAATCTCGGATCATGTGTGGATCTACAAGCAGGGCTATGGGGATAGAAGAACATGAACAGTATCTGTTGGGCGGCCTATGTCCTAGTGGTTAAGGCAGCTGGATCTTACACGGTTGACTATGAGGTTCAAGTCCTAGAGCCAACGGCTTGAGAAACATGCCGACTGAACATGTGTGTGTGTGTGTGTGTGTGTGTGTGTGTGTGTGTGTGTGACCAAAGAAGGGACTGAGGCGTGACCAAAGAAGGGACTGAGGCGTGACCATGCCCCACGTGGGGTGCTCTCTCTCTCCCTCCCTCTGTCTCTCTCTAGTGAGTGCATGCAACCTCTGGCAAATTAAATAAACAGAAAAAGAAAACCAACTCTCCTGGCTTGCTGAGCCACCACTCCTCCCAACACTTCCTGCCATTTGTAAGCCAGATTCAAATCAGAAATTTTCCTAGATATGAAAACACATGAGTCAGCAGCATCACCTGAGGGAGTCTGGCCACTTGTCCTCTGCTATACTGCTTAGCAGCTTCTGGAATGATCTAAAGAGTTCGACTTTACTGATTCGAGATCTGTTTGGAAAAAAGAATGCAAAGATGGTTTATTATGTCATTACTTTGTACCAGGACCTTATCAAAGGTAACAGCCTTCCCTAGGTGTTTAGGTTTGAATGTGCCTGAGCCCCCATTCTCTATACTGAGCAAGGAGAAAATCTACACCTGGTTATCTAATCAGGTTGAGGTATAAAAATAAATTTCGTTCTAAGAAATATCATAAGCAGTGGGATCAGTAAAATGACAAGCTCAGATGGGATACCTTGAGGCAGAATTACTAAATTTTGTATCAGGACAGCTACAAGACGTTTCTGACTATGTTCTTTCAAGGGACCTAGTCCTTCTGGGTAATACTGTTTACAAATAATGCAAAACTAAATACAGAATTTAAAAAAAAAAAAAAAAAGAGAAAAATATAAGAAACAAGAAATGGAAAATTACTTGATGATAACATGTGTGATTAAGTGATGGGAAACTGTATTTTGTATGCTGTGATGACGTTCAGTGAATAAATGTAAAATAAATAAATTTAAAAAACAAAAACAAAAAAACAAGTAATGCAAGGGTTTGTTTCAGAGACTTGAGGCTATTCCCTGTGTGAACTGCTATTATAAAATCCACCTGGGTTGGGGCTGGCAGGTGGCATGGTGGCTAAGGGCACTGGACTCACATATGGCTGACTGCAGTTTTAGTACCAGAGCCGGTGGCTTGCTTTCTCATTTTCCCTTTCTCTCGCTCTCGCTCTCTCTCTTTCTGGTCAAATAGAAAGAAAGGAAGGAAGGAAGGAAGGAAAAAAGGAAGGAAGAAAGAAAAGAAGTTAATATCTTCCCCAGGGTGCTTTTATTCCCCTTTGAAATACTGATAGGTGAGTACATGAGTCTTCTGCTATAACCTAGTGGCCACCAATGTACAAGTGTCAGAGCAGATATTGCTAAATTAGTATAGAGTACATATTCAATGCCTTAAAGTATGTCAAGGCATTTCATTCACAAGAACAAGAAGCCTTAGCAATCTGTCATGTCATGATCTACAGCCTAGAGATTAAATCTACATCAACGTGCAATATGTCACTTAAATCTCAGTGGGAGGAAAGTTACTGGATTCTGTTTACCACTGGCATGGTAATGAAATGTCAAGGCCTCTAGTCTCACTGCAAGAAGCCATCAGTGCTAGATGGTTAAAGAGGTTCTTGAGAACAGATCTGTGAAAGCTCCCAATAGTCTGCTCTCTAAAGTACCAACCAACACTTTCTCTTATGAATATTTCTCACCTAAGTCACCTCATCAATAATGTTAACATATTCTGTCTATAAAGACTGGAATGTTGGGAATCTTTCCTTTGCTAGAGAAGTACTCACTCCATGGAGGTAAGTCTTTTCTCAAGCCTCATTCAACAGAACAAAGAGATCAAACTAGTAACTGCTCCTGTGTGAAAAAGAGACAACAATAACATGATAATCACTGTAGTTATCTGAGGAGCACAGCACTTCTCTAGGTAGCGGCTAGCTGCTTCTCTCCAAGGACCTCTGGTTCCCTTCATATTAAAAAGAAAAAAAATTGCTATAGGGTGCATGTGCTTGTTGGAGACAGAGATGGAGATGGAGAAAGGAAGAATGAAAAATCTCCCCCTAGAGGGGATGGCCACACCACAGTCCCTTCTCCATTTTCTTCTTGAGATTTTGGGCATGCACCCATGTGCTCAGTGTATTTTTTAAGCCCGGCTCTGGCACTAGAATTATGCAGTCAGCCATATGTGAGTCCAGTGCCCTTAGCCACCATGCCACCTGGTGGTCTGCTTTGGTTCCTTTTAGCAGAGAGAATTACATTTTTAGATATTAGATTCTTCTTGTGAGGTAATACTGCTGGGTGTTGCATCAAAGAAAGAGTTTGGAAAGTAGTATGCATGTATATAATTTTGAAAAGAGTATGCATTCCCACTTAAATCAGTATTTTCAATTTAGCCTTATCTCTGTTAACATACATAAGACATACTTAAATCCCTCACCTGTTCTTTCATAATTTAATGAGCCATATAATGAAAACGCCAGCATACTCTGGTGTCTTAACTAGCACGGGAAGAGGATTTACCTCTTCAGGGCAAAAATAATGTATGAAGCAGAGCAAACTTAAAAAATGACAGGTGTGGGCTGATCCCATAGTGTAGTGGCTTAGCATTGTATAGGGGAGACAGATCACACATGGCTCATTGTGGTGTGAATGCCGGACCTGGTGGCTTGAAACCCATGCTCATGATCCTGATGGGATGGAGAAATGTAGAAAGAGGGGACCACGGTGTGACCAGAGCCTGCTGGGGGGTGCTTTGTCTTTCTCTCATGCAGTTGTGCCTCCTCTGGCATAAAAAACAAAAACAAAAATAAGGGCCCTTCATCTGTTTCCTGTTATTATCTCATTACTTGTAACAAAACAAAACAAAAAACCCACAAAGGCTTAAAGAAAGTATTTCCTTCTAGCATTGCACTAGTAAGTTAAACATTTCTAAAACAACCCCCTTCTGAGTTCCCATTCCCCACAGATGTATAGAAAGCAGTCCCATCATGCCAGCACTCACGGATGAGCAGGGAGAAAACCTGCTTTCTCCCCAGCAGGTGTTGGTCTCAGAATAAAACTAACTCCGACTTTTGCACACAAAGTAGAAGCTTCACGGATGACGAAAGAGAAACTGATCTAAATGAAATGTCTACTTCAAGCCCTACCATATGTTAGACGCACTCTGTCTTACCCTTGCTTTGTATGACTGGGAACCAGAAGCTCAGAGAGGTTGAGTAATTTGCTAAAGTGCATATAACTGGGGGGAAGGGAGCCAGAAATTAAACATCGGTTTCTGTAACTTCTAAGCTTCTACTGTTTCTACCACACACTTCCTCTGTGTGGAACTTGCTTTCTTTTATTCTCCTCTCGGGATCTTGGGCACGCACGCACACGCGCCCGGCGTGAGTTTTAAGCCACCGGGTCCGGGACACGAACCGCGGTCGACTACGTGGGAATCCAGTGACATAGCCATTACCCTAACTGCTGGTTCCCGGAACTTGCTTTCTTGTAAATAACGAGATGCCTGCAACATGTCAGAGACTTCAGATCATCTACTTGAATATCCTTATTTTACAGATACGAGTACACTGAAGCCCAGAGAATTGGACAAGTCCCAAGTCACCCAAGTATGGGACACAGAGATAGGGCTGGAACAGAAGACACTTTCAGTCACACAATAACACTGACATTCTGGGACAAGCTGGAAAAGAGCCTGATAGAAATTTGGAGAAAAGTTGATAATTTTAAGCAGAAAGCAGAGGTAGTTGAGCTGGATTCGAGGTAAAGGAAGACATGAACTCATAGCAAAGAAAGGCGTTTTGGTTCTGGGGAAAGCGGCAAGCACATGTCACAGTCTGCCGGGTGGGGCCAATGAGAGGAGCTTCGAGGCTGTTGCTGAGAGGAGAAATGGAGCCCAGCAGGAAACACGTGCGTTCTGTCCCTCACTGCCTGCTCGGCTCCTGCATCCTGGTCTGTGGCTGAGAGCTCATCTGAGAAGTGAACAAAGTGGCCCAAAACCAGGAAGCCCCTTGAGAAAAACCTGGTCCAAAAATCTCTACCCTCAACAATGTGAAAATATTACTCAATTTTTAAGTCTAGGAGACAGGCAGGATCTGCTGTGTAGACTGTTACAACCCTGATAGTAGCTATAAAGAAAAAGAAAAGTCTAAAAAGGATATATGTAAATTCAGTTTCATTATTTTTGTTTGAAGCAAACAAGTAAAAAAAAAAAAAATAGCAAACTTTAGTTATAACTTGAAAAAATGATTTTTGTTCATGATAAAGTGTGTATATGAGCACAAAAGGAGGGGAGGGGAAACAAAGAAAACACCCTCTACAGGGTTTCATCACTCCCACGACCCTCTTCCCCTAGCCCTCCAATCCAATCTTGGGCACATACACAAGAGCCCAGTGAATTCCAGGCCTAACCAGTCAGCTTTGTGCCTTCCAGTATGCTACTGACTATGTCACCAGTTGTGACTGGGCCACAACACAGCTTTTCAAAATTTTTTAAGAGTGATTTTTGCTATAAGGCACGTGTGCTTGCTGGAGAGATAGGGAGAGACAGAGAGACAGAAAGTGAGAAATCACCTCTGGGGTGGGGGGATAGTCACACCACAATCCCTTCTCCTTCATTTTCCCTTTGGGATCTTGGGCATACACACACAAGTACCCAGTGTAAGTGTTAAGCCACCAGGTCTGGGACTTGAACTGCAATTGACTATGTGAGAGTCTAACAAGGTAACAATTATGCCATCTGCTGGTTCACACAATACAACTTTTTATAAGAGCACAATAAAGAAACTGAGAGTGAGAAGGACTATCTATAAATGTGGGAGTCCTATAGCAATTACTTTGGTGGCAGCTCAGTGCAGACAGAAATGGAAATGCTTTTCATGGAGAGGCCACTCCACTGCCAGCTATTAGGAGGGAAAGACAGGGTGTAGGAGACTAGCCAAGCATTCAGAGAGACACATCCCAGGCAGATGCGTGAATCTATGGGAAAAACTCAAGTTTTATGTCCAGCAGCCTAGGACCCTGTGCTTCCCAGAAGCCGATCTTAAGGTACATCTGTTTCCAGGTGCCCTTCCTGCCAGCCCTATCAGTGTGGAGCTTCATAAATGATTTTTAGGTTCTGATCCTGACCTACTAAATCAAAATCCTTAGTGAAGCCAAGAAAAGAATCGTTTAAACATCTCATCAGAGGAAACGTAGTATTTCCAAAAAAGAGTGCTGGAACAACTAGATATCCACATGTAAAAGAATGAAGATGGATCCTCACCTCATACTATTTAGAAAAATTAACTCAAAGTGTATTAAAGGGACAGCTAGTGGCTGGTGGTTAAGGCAGCTAGATCCCAAATGGTGAATTGAGTAGTTCAAGTCCTAGCCCAGTGGCTTCAAAAACAAGCCAGGTGCATTGTGCGTGCATGCCTAAGGTCCTGAGAAGAGAATGGAGGAGAAGGGACTGCAGTGTGGCCATCCTCTTGGAGGGTGATTTCTCACTTTCCTTCTCTCTGTTTCTGTCTGGTTAGCACATGTGCTCTATAGCAAAAGCTTAAAAACAAAAACAAAAACAAGAAAACATCAAAGTCCTGAATGTAAGAGTAAAAACTATAAAACTATTAGAAGAAAACATAGAATAAGTTTTTTTGACCTTGGGTCAGGCAATAGTTTCTTACATATGGGACCAAAAATACAACTAACGAAAGAAAACATTTATAAATTTGACTTCATCAAAATTTAAAAACTTTCTGCTTTAAAGTACACTATCAAAATGTGAAAAGACAGGGCCAGCAGTGGTGTGGTGGCTGAGGTGCTAGACTCCCACCGGCCGACTGTGGTTCAAGTACCAGACCTGGTGGGTTGAGGCTCACGCTAGGTGTGTGTGTGTGTGTGTGTGTGTGTGTGTGTTTGTGTGTCCAAAATCCTGAGAGGAGAAGGGATTGTGGTGTGGCCATCCTCCCTGAGGGGGTGATTTCTTACTTTCCCTCTCTCTGTATTTGTCTGTCTTTCTCTGGAAAAAAACCTAACAACGAAATGTTTTGAAAAGACAACCAACAGAACTGAAGAAAATATCTGCAAATCATATATCTGATAAATGACTAGTATCTAAAAAATATAAACAAAACTTGCAATAAGAAGACAAAAATATTTTACAAAATAGGCAACAAATCTGAATAGACACTTTCCCAAAATAGACAGACAAATGGTTAATTAGTACATAAAAAGAAGCCCAAACCATTAGTTATAAGGCAAATGCAAATCAAAACCACAATAAGATATCACTTCACACCCACTAGAAAGACTACCATAAAAAAGGTAATAATTGGGGCCAGTAGGTGGCGTGGTAATTAAGGTGTTGGACTCCCACATGGCCAACCATGGTTCGAGTCTCAGACCTTGTGGCTTACTTTCTCACATTCTCCCTTTCTCTGGTCAAATTAAAAAATAATAATGAGGGACCAGCAGTTAGTGTAATGGCTATGTCGCTGGACTCCCATGTAGTCGACTGCAGTTCACGTCCCCGGCCTGGTGGCTTATAACTCACGCCAGGCATGTGTGCGTGCATGCCCGGGATCCCGAGAAGAGAATGGAGGAGGGATTGCGGTGTGGCCATCCCCCCCGGGGGGTGATTTCTTGTTTTCTGTCTCTCCTCTGTCTGGCAAGGGCAAGCGCCCTAAAAAAAAAAACCCCTAAAAAAAAAAAAAAAAAAAAAAGATAAATAAATAAATAAATAAATTTTAAAAGAATTATTTATTTAGGAACCAGCAGATAGTGTAATAGTTATGTTGCTCGACTCCCACATGGCTGACTGTGGTTTGAATCCCAGACCCAGAGGCTTGAAACTCATGCAGGTGTGTGTCCGTGTATTTCCAAAATCCTGAGAGGAGAATGGAGGAGAAGGGATTGTGGTATGGCCATTCCCCCCTGGGGCTGATTTTTTTGCTTTCTTTCTCTCCAGTGAGTGCACATACTATAGCTAAAATCTCTCTCTCAAAAAAAATCACTATTTTAAAATTTGCTACAGGGTACATGTGCTCATCAGAAAGAGAGAGAGAGAAAGTAAGAAAGCAAGCCACCAGGTTTGGGACTTGAACTGTGGTCAGTCACGTGGGAGTCCAGTGCTTTAACCACCATGCCACCTGCTGTCCCCCAAATGATTCTTAAAAAAAAAAATAAAGGCAACAATGAAAAATCACACTGGATGTGTGTGCATATATGCCCAAAATCCTGAAGAGGGGGACATGGGGGAGAAGAGAATGTGGTGTGATCATTCTCAATGATTTGATTATTTACAATAATCAAAAAGTGAAACAACTCAAATATCTACCCATACATGAATGGATTAAAAAATGGTATATCGGCAGGCTTTTTCCATAGCCCTGCCCTGCCCTTCTTGGTGCAGAAAATGGTCAGGGAGGCCAAGCATCATGGCAGCACACCTCACGGTGAGGATCAGGAGGAGGGGACTACAAGGATAGGCCCAAGAGTAATGGTATTTAAGAAAGAACAAGTGGTAAAATATCTCAATGTAGACAATGCCCAGCAGAAAAATGAAGGAGAGGAGCAGGCCTCCATGCAGAATGAAAAGGGATCCAGCCATTTGGGAGGGGACGAAGGCCAGAAGCCTGGTGGAAATGTCAGGCAGGGTTGTGTTAGGTGACCTGTCCCTAACTTTTGATGGGCCATACCTAGCAGGCATATTGATCACAATGAAGTAGGAGATGACGTTGAAAGGTCAGATGATGGAAATCAAGAGGAAGATTAGGGGTCAGCAGTTGAGGCAAATATATGCACTTCTAAACTCTAGAACCTGACAATCGTTATGACTTTTGTCTCATACCTTGAATACTAAGATTTTCCCTGAGGTTAATAACTTGGCCGCTGCTTTACAGGCTTATATTTTTGTAATTTATTTTTCCATAAATCTTTTGGTGTTTCCATTTACAGTTTCTAATTGAATATTATAATCATTTTGTCTCAGTTTAAAAGTTTCTATCAGCATGGCAAGTTCTCCCATTTTCAGAAAAAATATGGTTTTCATAATTTGAAATTAATAAAGGAGTTTAAAAAGAATCTAAAAAAGTATATGCTATATGTATACAATGGACTATCAAGAAAAAGGAACGAAGCACTGATATATGTTACATCATGAATGTACCTCTAAAACACTACGCCAAGTGAAAGAAATCAGGTTTTTTTTTTTTTTTTTTTTTTACGTTTCACTATAGGGTGCATGCGTTCACAGAAAGAGACAGAGAGAGAGAAAAGTGACAAATCACACCTCAGAAGGGAAAGTCATGTCATAATCCCTTGTACTCCCTCTCCTCTCGGGATTTTAGGTGCATGTACACACACAGACACACACACACAGAGGTGCCTAGCTATGTTTTTCAAATCGCTGGAACTGAGACTTGAACCATGCAGCCGGCCATGTGGGATCCAGCTGCCTTAACCACCATGCAACCAGCTGATACAGAAGTCAGGTTAAAAGGTCAGATACTGGGAGATTCCAACTACGTGAAATGTCTACAATAGACAAATCCGTGGAGCTAGAGTGTGTGTGTGACCAGGCAAATGAGAGGTTTCTGGGGCTGCGGAGAGGAAGGCATGAAAGTGACTGCTAATGGGTATGGGCTTTCTTTTTGGAACGATGAAAATGTCCTGGAGTTAGACAGTGCAGGCCTGCATTCGCAGCCACGTCTTCCTGGACCCACATGCTGTACCTGGCCTGAAGGCTCCCGATTCCTTTCTTTGTTGTTCCCTGTGGAAAGCCATTGGCAGTGACATCCAGCGGCTGCTCGGGAACTGCACTCCAGCTGATTGCTGTGAAAAGATAAGATTTCTGGGGTTAAAAACTGTTCTATCTCCTTTAAGTACCAGAGGCATGTCACTAAAAACATTTCTCTGACTATAGGTTCATGTGAGCTGAACATGATGTCAGAGACAGTGAGTAGTGCTTTTTTTTTTTTTTAATTCCATGAGGGAGAGAGAGAGAAAGAGGTACCCACAACAGGAGTTTCACATAACAATCATCCCTACCTCAGGTAGCCTGAATCGTGGGGCACATGCCCAGCGTGGACAAGGAGACCTCGGGACATGAACCTGGGACCTTCCTGTGTGGGTCCAGCATTGCAGAGTGCTGTGTTACTGTTGTGCCACTGGCTGGCCCCACAGTGATTGACACTTTGATGGCTGGCCTCTAGGGTACAAGAGTATGTAGTGGTTCATAATTCATTATTATCATTAGAATTTCTCACTTAATTCTCCTAATAATGTTGACAAATGATATTCTTCTCAATAGAAGATAAAGAAAACATGGCCAGGAGAAGATAAGTAACTAGACCAGAAACTGAGGCCAAGGGAGGATAAGGAACTAACCCAGGGTCACACAGCATAAACTTGACCCAGCATGAAGGTCGCCAAAGTCCACACTACTGACCACTTGCGAGTGAATTGTCTTCCTAGGCTGGGAGGATGCAGACTCTCCCAGGTCACTCTGACAGGGAGCAGTTAGTCCTAGGAAGGTCTTACTTGGATCCCTTACCTGCCCCACAAGGAACCAGCCGGCCTCGGCTGTCAGCTCTTTTTGCTTGCACTGCACTGCGGCTCTGTTCAAACTGTAAGTTTGACTGCTGAATTTTCAGCTTTTGAACTCCGAAGCCTCTGGGTAAAGACAAGACATTCTGACACCTAAAAGTGAGGGAAAATGCACTCAGTTTAGGCACACCCTTAGAGAAAAAGAATTCCTTTATTTTCTTTTTTGGAAAGGTTTTTGCTATAGGGCGCATGTGCTTGCCAGAAAGCCAGAGAGAGACAGAGAGACAGAAAGCTAGAAATCACCCCCCAGGGGGGATGGCCACGCCACAATCCCTTCTCCTCCATTCTCCTCTCGGGATCTTGGGCACGCATGCACACACGCCCTGGAGAAAAAGAATTTCTAAGACTTGGATTACATCATCATGACATAGATCATCACCCCCAATCCTTGCTGGGAGACAAAGACCTTAGGAGGCGTGTGGGTTTGTTTGTTAGCTGTTTATTTGGGTGGAGGACAGAGAGTGTGCCTGAATAGAGTCTAGACCATAAGAAGCATATGGCTATAGGAAGATCCCTCCCTGCCACTCTGAAGGGATAACTAATAATTAATTGAGTCTGTAACATCAGACTCCGTTACTGATAAAGGTTTTCAGAAACTTGATAACTTGAAGCAGAAATATTAACTGGCTGGTCCCTGCTTTCTAAGAAACTCTTCACACATACCCAAAACCAAAATGATCCTATTTAAAATATAAAAGTTTCATTTTTCTCTCTTGTATCTTTCACACACACTAGGTGTCAACATGATGCTGACTGAGAACTGAGCAGATAGCAACTTGAAGTCCTGGAACAGGGAAAACACAAAAAGTATCCTGCACAGTGCCTAGGTTTGCTTTTTAAAAATATACTTATAGGGAAATAGTTCATGTACCATCAAATCCATACATATAAAATATATAATTCAATGGCTTTCAGTAACTTCCCAGAATTGCACAACCATCATCACAATCTAAATTTATATTTAATCATCTCAAAGAGAAATCTTGCATCTCTTAGCAGTCCCTCTCCATCCCTCCAGCCCCTGATAACTACTAATTTACTATATGAATTTGTCTTTTCTGGATGTTTCACATAAATGAAAACAAAATATGTGGCTTTTTTCACTTAACATGGTTTTTTTTTTTTTTTTTGAGAGATTTTCACTTTAGGGCGTGTGCGCTCGCCAGACAGACAGAGAGAGACATAGAGACTGAAAGTGAGAAATCACCCCCCAGGGGGGATGGTCACGCCGCAATCCCTTCTCCTCCATTCTCCTCTTGGGATCTTGGGCACGCACGCACATGCGCCCGGCGTGAGTTTTAAGCCACCGGGTCCGGGACACGAACCGCGGTCGACTACGTGGGAGTCCAGCGACATAGCCATTACGCTAACTGCTGGTTCCCCACTTAACATGTTTTTGACTTGCTGTAGCACGAATCAGTCCTTTTGATGGCTGAATAAAATTCTGTTTTATGAACAGATCTCTCTTTTTTGTTTTTGGAGAGGTTTTCGCTATAGGGCGCATGCGCTCGCCAGACAGACAGAGACATAGAGACAGAAAGCGAGAAATCACCCCCCAGGGCGGGTGGTCACGCCGCAGTCCCTTCTCCTCCATTCTCCTCTCGGGATCTTGGGCACACACGCACACGCGCCCGGCATGAGATTTAAGCCACCAGGTCCGGGACGCAAACCGTGGTTGACTACGTGGGAGTCCAGCGACATAGCCATTATGCTAACTACTGGTTCCCTGAAGAGATCTCACTTTGTTGGACATTTTATTTGGGTTGTTTTACTTTTTGGTTATGATGATTAATGCTGTTCTGACATTTGTGTACAAAATTTTGTGTTGGGAGGCCAGCAGGTGATATGGTAGTTAAGATGCTGGACTCACAAATGGCTGACCGCAGCTAGAGTACTGGAACTGGCAGTTTGCTTTCTAACTTTCCCTCTCTCTCACTCTGGTGAGTGTATGTACTCTATAGCAAAATAAAAAGTAAAAAAATAAATAAATTTTTTTTGAGATGTTTTTGCTATAGGGCGTGTGAGCTCGCCAGAGAGACAGAAAGCGAGAAATCACCCCCCGGGGGTATGGCCACGCCGCAATCCCTTCTCCTCCATTCTCCTCTCGGGACCTTGGGCACACACGCACACGCACCCGGCATGAGTTTTAAGCCATTGGGTCCGGGATGCGAACCACGGTCGACTATATGGGAGTCCAGTGACATAGACATTACACTAACTGGTCTCCCCTCCCCCCCCCTTTTTTTTTCCTTTAAGAGAGACTTTTTCTAGAGGGCACATGCACTCGCCAGAGAGACAAAAAGTGAGAAATCACCCCCCAGGACAGATGACCATGCCATAATCTGTTCTCTTATTGGGATTTTAGGCACACACACACATGTGCCCGGTGTGAGTTTCAACCCACTGAGTCCAGGACTTGAACCACAGTTGACTATGTGGGAATCCAGTGACGTAACCATGACACGATCTGCTGGGTCCAATAAAATAATTCTTAAAGTTCACGAGATTAAAAAAAAAAACAAAAACAAAGTTTTATGTGGATGCATATTTTATTTTTTTAAGAATTATTTATTTGTCATTATTATTACTGAAAAAAATTGGTATAGGCAGGCACACTCACCAGAGAGAGAGAGAGCATGAGAGCAAGAGTGCAAACCTCCATGTTTGGGACTCAAACTGCAGAGGCCATGTGGGAGTCCAGCTCCTTAACTACCACCCACCTACGGGCTCTGGATATATATTTTCATTTCTCCTGGGTATGTCCCTAGGAATGGAATGGCTGGGTCTTACCCTAGGGCAGCTCTGAAGTCTGCTTCAGGGATTGTACATTTGACATGGGCCCATGATGCTCCCCTGACCAGAGCTCTGCCTTACCGTTATTTACTAATGAATGGAGTTTGGTTGCCTCCCTCAGGGAGCACATACTTGGTTATCCTTTTTCTTTTTCAAAATTAACATGAATACTTAAGGTTTTTTTTTTTTTTTTTTTAAATGCCATAGGGTGGCACATCCATGCCTCTGAGAGAGAGAGAGAACATGCACACATGCACAAGAATGAAAGGGAGGGACTAGCAGTTAGCATAACGGCTATGTTGCTAGATTCCTATGTAGTCAACCACGGTTCAAGTCCTGGACCCGGTGGCTTAAACTCATGCCGGGCGCATGTGCATGCATGCCCAAGATCCCGAGAGGAGAATGGAGAAGGGATTGCGGTGTGACCATCCCCCCTGGGGGGTGACTTCTCACTTTCTGTCTCTCTGTCTCTTTCTGTCTGGTGAGCGCACGCGCCCTACAGTGAAAACCTCTCAAAAGAAAAAAAAATAAAGAGTGAAAGGGAAAGAAAGCATCCCCAAAGGGAGTGCTTCTTCCTATAGTTCCCCCTCTCATCAGGATTCTAGATGTGTGTATGTGTCCAGTGTATTTTTCAAGTTGCTGGGTCTAAGACCCAAACCATGGTCAGCCATGTGGGATCCAGCTGCCTCTGAGTAGCACTTAGTTGCTGTACTATGGAGTCCAATGTTTAAGGGTTTAAAAAAATTGTAATAACAATGTATATAGACTGCAAAAAATAAGAAAATACAAAAATAACAAAAAAAAAAAACCTGCCCATGACAATTAGGGATAATAATGATCATACTTTGGTGTACATTTCCTGTGTGCATAATACCAGGAGTGCTCAAAAAGTTCATGGAAAGTGTGTATTAAAAAAAGGCATGGGTATCAAATTTTTGTACTGAAATACTCATACTTTAATTCCATTTTTCCATGAATAGAAAATGGAATTTTCTTCTTTTTAAAATTACTTTATACAAGCTATAATAAATGTCAGAATACTTTCTTATTTCCTTAGGACAAATTCCTTGACGAGGAACTGCTAGATTGAAAGATGTGGGAATATTAAGCCCTTTGGCCACTTTCTGATGCCTTTCAGACAGTCTATTCCAACTGAGCCCTCCCTCTTTGCTCACTTACCTCCCAACCAGTGCTCTCTGCATGGCCTCCTGGCTGTATGGGCACTTCCCAATGATCACAGCTGACAGGTAAATGGGTTCTTCTAGGAAGTGCATCAACAGTGCCCCTTGGCATCCAAGGACGTTCCATCGGGCCATCTTGTCACTGCAGGACATGGAACAAGTCCTGTCTCCCCGGCCTGGCTTCACCCGGAGCAACCCCACCTGGTGATATGCAGCACCAGGCAACCCTGAGTCTGCAGCTCCTCCAGGCACACACTTGGCTCCAGTTCTATAAACATCTACCACGTTGGCACCACTGAGGGCTACTCCGGTGACAGCGGCCATTCCCACTAACGTGAGATCAGAGTTGCTGATACTTGCTGAGGCCGGGCCAGTTTCGTGATTGCCAAAACTCTGATGGTGAGTTGTACCATTGGCAACCTCCCTTGTAGGAGTTTGAAGCTCAAGTCTCATCCTTTTGGTTATAGGACTCTCAGGGTCTTCAAGTTGCCTTTTATTTTCAGGAGCTTCCAGGTTATCACTGCCTTCTACGGATGGGTTCTTGGCCCAATCTCTGCTGACAGGACAGCAAGGCTGTTCTTCAAATGCAAGCATTGGAATGATAGAGGCATCCCCACCTGCAGGAGAAAGAATTCTTTAAACCAGTGGTTCTCGGCATCCCTTAGTAACTTGTTGGAAATGCAAATTCTTGAGACCCACAGTAAACCTGGTAACTCAGAAACTCTAGAGACTGGACTTAGCAGTCTATGTTTTTTTTGTTTGTTTGTTTTTGTTTTTTGAGAGGTTTTTGCTATAGGGCACGTGCGCTCGCCAGACAGACAGAGAGAGACAGAGAGACAGAAAGCAGGAAATCACCCCCCAGGGGGGATGGCCACACTGCAGTCCCTTCTCCTCCATTTTCCTCTTGGGATCTTGGGCATGCACGCACACTCGCCCGGCGTGAGTTTAAGCCACTGGGTCCGGGACTCAAACCACGGTCGACTACATGGGAGTCCAGCAACATAGCCATTACGCTAACTGCTGGTCCTAGCAGTCTATGTTTTGATAAACTATCCAGGTGATTCTGAAGCAAACTCAAGTTTGAAAACTATTGCCTTAAATAAAAATGAATTCTAACCTCCTAGCTAACTTTAGATAAGAGCACATCCCAAATTTCACTAGTGAGAATCCACTGGGCTGAATGGTTTTGTGCCTGGTGCTTTAGGAGCTGGATCCCACATAACCGATTATGGGGTTGAAATCCCAGCCCTGGTGGCTTGCAAAACATGCCAGGCATGTATGCATGTATGCCCCAAATCCCAACAGGGTGAAGAAATGGAGAAGGGATTACACTGTGACCCCCTCTGCTGGGGTTGCTTTCTACCTCTCACTCTCTTTCTGGCAAACATGTGCTCTCTGGCAAAATTTAAAAAAAGAGCGAGCGAGAGAGAATGCACTGGGGCTCTGGTTGAAGACCCTCTCGTAGACCTAGTGACCTGGAATTTCTGGAAGAGGGTGTCTAGAAAACCAACAAAGAGCCCATGTAATTCTTATCACAAGGAAGTTCTGGAAATACTGGCATATAAATATTTCTCAATCTCACACTAATGACTTTGGGGTTAGACAATTCCTTGTTGCAGGGGCTGTCCTGTACATTATAGCAGCATCCCTGGTTTCTACCCACTACGTGCGAATAGCATTTTCTATTCTGATAATGAAAAGGTCTCCAGATGTTGTCCAATGTCCCCTGTGGAGCAAAACTGTCCCAAGTTGAGAACCATTAGTTTGGAATGAGGAATGAGGTTTTCTAAGTGCATTTTGCAGAATGCAATTCCTTAACATGTCTTGCACACCTGTGGGTGATGGGCTGGCTCCACAGAACAGCAATGCACTGCTCAAGAGAACCAGATCCTACATGACAACTACCATTCGAAACCAGGCCAGGTCAGCCTCAAACACACCAGGCACATGCACGAGTGCCCAGGGTCCCATGGGCTGGAAGGCTGGAGTAGAAGCCCATGGTGTGACCAACCTCTGGAGACAGTTCTCACCTCTACTGCTCTCTAACTGCATACGCATGTGCTCTATCATGCATAAAGAAAAGTGTGTGGTTTATTTCACAGTCAAATAAATTTGGCAAACATTGTTCAAAATGTATCCATCTTGACAACTTTATCATGCATATTCCCACAGTGAAGACTGCAGTAAATGACAAAACTTGGTCTAAACCAGTATTTCCCTGGGCTGGTATTGAGATTTTTTATTTACTCTGGGCTTATAGAAAATCAAAGAAAACCAAAAGTCAGTAAATAGCACAGATCCTTGAGGAGGGAGGTATTTCTTCAAAGACTGAATAATGTGTGCTGCTTTCCTAAAGCATGTAAATAATACATCTGTAGTCTTTATAACCTAAGAGATGTAGAAGCGGGAATGCTGCCAGAGAGGTTGGCTGGCTGGGTGGCTGACTTGTAGAGACCTCACAAGGTGACAGTGACTTTGGAGAATTCACTGGAGCTCACCTCCCACTCTGTAGCTCAGAGATTCAATCATTACAGATGACTGAACTCAAGAAGTTGACTCATGCTAATAAAGCCCACACGTCAGAGTTTGAAGCAGCAGAGAAGAAGCCACGGGCCTTCAGGAGAAGGTTCCACGTGGCTACAGTGAACTAGATTTTTAAGGGAATGAAGATTTTCTACTAATAATTCAGCCTCCAACAAACGAGCTAGCGGGTTAAAATATTCCCCACTATCTACTGAATCTGCTGCACCAGTGATCACAATAGAACGGCAGAGATTCTAGATCACCTCTGTCTGCTTGCTCAACATTCGGGCTGAACTTTTAGAATTCGAAAGAAACACAACATCCATCAGATGACAAGAAATCACCGCTGGATCACGAGAAATATGGGAAAACGAGAAAATACCTCTCCCCCAAGGGAAAAGACTAATTCTTCTTCATCTACAAGCAGTTCGGTGAAAATCATGGAAATGTCAGATAAGGAATTCAGATCATTCATAATGTCTAAGCTAACAGAGATGGAAGAGAAGAGAGATAATGAACTGCTAAAGAGAAAGGAAAAAGTTGATGAGTTGCAGGAGATGATGAAATTCCTGCAAGATCGAAAAGAGGAATTACACACTTTACAAAAGACTCAAACGGAACTGCTAGAGATGAAGTCTATAATACAAGAAGTAAAAATCTCCCTTGAAAGTATTAAAAGCAGACTAGATCATTCAGAAAATAGAATCTCAGATGTAGAGGAGAAAATGGCTGGCCTAGAAAAATCCACCATGAAGACTGAGAAAATGGCACAAAAATTTGAGAATAATATGCGAGAAGTACTGGATACCATCAAACGTCCAAATATCCGGATAATTGGCATTCCAGAAGGTGAGGAAACCCATAAGGGCATTGATAATCTATTCCATGAAATCCTGCAAGAAAACTTTCCAAACCTAGAGAGGCATTCAAAGATCCAGTCCCAGGAAATACAACGGACCCCAAATAGAATCAACCCTAGAAGATCTTCTCCAAGACACATTATAGCCAGGTTGACCAAAACTGCAGACAAAGACAAGATACTAAGATTAGCAAGAGAAAAACATCAAGTTACCTACAAAGGACATCCCATCAGGCTAACAGCAGATCTCTCATCAGAAACAATAAAAGCGAGGAGAGAATGGGAAAATATATTCCAAGTGTTAAGAGAGAAGCAGTTTCAGCCAAGAATACTGTATCCGGCAAGATTATCTTTCAGGTGGGAAGAAAAGACAAGAACATTCTCAGATAAACAAAACCTGAAAGAATTTACCAGCACCAGACCAGACCTCCAAGAAGTTCTCAAGGATGTGCTGTATCAGGAAAACTAAACGCAGATACATGGAAATAAGAGTCCAAAAACTGAGAAAGTAGCTAACTTAATCATAGGGACAAGTCTGGAGTTGAATACTATATCCCAGAATTTAATCAGGAAAATTGAACCAGAACAGAAGATAAAAGTATATGAGACTGATAGGTTCATGCACCTACCATTTGAACAGAATCCTAACCTGTTTCCGGGCTTTAAGCAAAGTTCCTTGGCGTTTCTTTGATTTAAGTTAAAACTGGTTTTCTTAGTAGTAACGAGTGAACTCACCATTGAAAGTAGTTAGGTTATGTAGGAAATTGTGTGATCAATGCAATGTGGGTGGGAAGGGAATGGAGGACAATTTTGGACACCGGAGGTGGTGTGAGAGGAGGGTGGGAAGGGACAGAGGGTCAGAAAGAGGAGTGGAAATAATTCTAGGAACTAGAATTGGAAATTTTTTTTTTTTTGTAATGTGCATGATTGAGTCACTATGCAGTGTGTACTGGATGGGAGATTGCATTTTGTGTGCTGTGATGATGCTTAGGGAAGGAATGTAAATTGAGTTACATATCTATTCAATGACTGCAATAGGATATGTAGCCCCAGCTAGGTGCTAATTTATAGGATGCATAAAGTTAGACTTGTGCTCATGGAAATGTGTGTGTCACCTGTGTTTGCTATGAGGGTATTTGGATTGATTAGGGTCTTTGGTAATTCAATAAAATGTGGGGGGAAAATGGTATAGAAAGCAAACAGATACCAGAGACAGTGTGGGAGGAGAGCGGGAGGTGGCAGAGGGTAAGAGATAGGGAACCAAGGATGGAGGGAAAAAAGCAAAACATACAGAAAACAAGAAATGGAAGATCATTTGCTGACAATAACAAGTTTGTTGATGTGCTCGATTGAGACAATATACAGTATACCCTGGATGGAAAATCTCATTTTGTATGCTGTAATGATGTACAGTGAATGAATGCAAATAAATAAATAAAAAAAAAAAAAAGAGTTTGAAGCAGCAAAGCCAGGCACCAAGTTATTAATTAGTAATGAGAAATAAATGTCAAGGGAGCCAGAGAGTCACATTCTCTGAGTAGTGTTTTTTCTTCAGGCAGAAAAACCATGGGAGACATCAATTATAAAAGACTACCCAAGAGGGCTGACCAGTGACATGGTGGTTAAAGTGGGTGGATCCCATATGGCCAACTGCACGGTTTGAGTCCCAGACCCGGTAGCTTAAAAAACATGCTGGATGTGACGTGTGTATGCTCCAAATCCCTGAAAGTTGAATGGAGAAGAGATTGCAGCATGCCCCCCCCCACCCCCGCCCGGGAATACATTTTCTCTCTAGCAGAACATGTGTCCTATAGCAAAAAAAAAAAAAAAATTTATCCAAGTGCCAATTAGTGGTTCTAGATTTGATTTCACAGACAAATCAGCAGAATTTCCCAAAGATTTTAAAATCAACACAGGATTTCTTTTTATTCTTTTAAAATTCTATTATCAACACTAAAAAGAAAAATCTCATGACCTTTAAATGAAAAGAAATTAGTTTTGAAAAACTCACAACATAGCCTTGATTTTTCCTGTTCTTCCATGGACTCTCATGGCTCAGCACCCATCTATAGACCACTGCTTTGTCGTTTGATTAGACCATCAAGCTATCTGTGATCCCAGATGCATCTGTCTTCCTCTATAATAAGACTACACCTGCCAGTGGGATCCCCAGCTACACACAGTGTGGGCCACAGACCTGCACTACAGGGAGTTGGATGGAAATGCAGAACCTCAGCCCCACTTCAGACCTATTGAATTTGACTCTGCATTTTCCTAAGATCTCCCAGTGACTTACGTGCAAAACTACGTGCAATTTGAGAATCACTGATTAGGAAACAGTCTTTGTTCCTTGGACCAGGGTACCCACAGCTAAAAACAGAGCATAGGGGCCAGGAGGTGGTGTAGTGGTTAAAGCACTGGACTCCCACATGGCCGACTGCGGACTCAGTGGCTTGAGACTCATGTTGGCACATGTGCATGCATGCCCAAAATCCCAAGAGAGCGGAGGAGAAGGAACTGTGGCATGGCCATTCTCTCTGGGGATGATTTCTCACTTTCTCTGTCTCTTTGGCAAATGCGTGCTCCCTATAACAAAAAATAAATTAAAAAAAAAAAAGAATAGAGCATAGATCAACCCTGTTTACAGTCCTTTTTCTGGCCTTTGACTGTTAATGAACTATTTTCCCATGCTCATTCTTTCTTAAGCTGTAATAATATTTTTAATGTGAGATTTGCCTAAGTATGTAATGATCATATTTTGACAGCAAGGTAGCTGGCCCTCTGGTATAGTGGCTAAGCACTGTGCCAAAGAAGCCAAATCTTACATGGCTCATTGGAGTTCAAGTACCAGCCCCTGTGGATAAAAAAAACACTAGTGGGCACATTATTTTTTAATTGAAAAATTAGTTAAAAGAGAAAAACATGTTGGGCACACACATACTTTGTTTTCTAATGAAACAGAGAACTGGAAGAAAAGAGATTGAGGCATGATAAGGTCTTCTTGGGAGATGCTTTTTCCTCTCTTTCTTTTTGTCTCCTGTGTACACACATGGACCAGTGCCCTCTAGAATAAAAATAAAAAACAAAACAAAAAACTTCATGGCTATGCCATTTCGTGATCTGATTCTTCTTTGACTGCATTTTTTAAATATTTAATTTTATTCATCAATAGCATTATTATTTTTAATTTTGCTATAGGATACTTGCACTCACCAGAGGGAAACAGAGAAAGAGGGAAAGTAAGAAAGGAACCCATCAGGTCTAGGACTTGAACCATGGTCGGCAACGTGGGAATCCAGAACCTTAACCGCCATGCCAACACTTGGCCCCCAACTGCATGTATTTCTAAAAATTTATTATTTGGGGGCTGGCAGGTGGTATGGTGGTTAAGGGGGCTGGACTCTCCCCCATGGCCAACTGTGGTTTGAGTCCTGGATTGGTGGCTTGCTTTCTCACTTTCCTTCTCTCTCTTTCTCACTCTGTCCCTCTCTGATCAATAAAATAATTTTTAAAATTATTATTTTAGATTTTTGTCATAGGGCATGTACACTCACCACAGGTAGGCTAAGGGGCGTGAGAAATCACCTCCTAGAGGGGATGGCCATGCCACAGTCCTTTCTCCTTCACTCTCTTCTTGGGACCCTTAAGTACACATGTGCCTGGCATGGTTTTTAAGCCACTAGGTCCAGGACTTAAACCATGGATTCAGCTATATGAGATTCAGTGCCTTAACCATCAAGGCACCTGCTAGCCCAATTTATTATTATTTTTAATGCCAAAGAGTGTATGTATTTGCCAGAGAGAGAGAGAGACAGAGACCTCTCCTTCCCCAATGAATTGTGATCATGTCAGCAACATTTTTCCTTCAATTCTCCATCCTGTCAGGATTTGGAGCATGCATGCACATGCGCCCAGTGTGTTTTTCAGACTGCTGGGGAAATGGTTTGAACTGTGGTTGGCCATGTGCAATCCAGTTCCAATGCACTGGACTTAAACACTGCACCACGAGGCCAGCCCATATGTGATAGTTTTAAAGTTTGATATCACAGGACAATCTTATATCCTTATTTAAAGTTTTTAGGTGGGGAAATTTTACTGCCATTCTTGAGTTGCTGTCTACAAAAGACAGAAATTATTTTAAATTTTTGGAACCAGCAGGTGGCATGGTGGTTAAGGTGTTGGACACTCCCACATGGCCCACCATGGTTCAAGTCCTGGACCTGGTGTCTTGCTTTCTCACTTTCCCTCTTTCTCTCTCTGTATGTCTCTGGTCAAACAAAAAATAAATGAATGAGTAAATAAAATTAAGTGAACAATTAAAAAAAAAAAGACAAGTGGGAACCAGCAGTTAGTGTAATGGCTATGTCGCTGGACGCCCACGTAGCCGACCGCAGTTCGCGTCCCGGACCTGGTGGCTTAAAACTCACGCCAGGTGCATGTGTGTGCGTGCCCAAGACCCCGAGAGGAGAACGGAGAAGAAGGGATTGTGGCGTGACCATCCCCCCTGGGGGGTGATTTCTCGCTTTCTGTCTGTCTCTCTCTGTCTGGCGAGCGCACGCGCCCTATAGCAAAAACAAACAAACAAACAAAAACCTCCCCCCCCCCAAAAAAAAAAAAAAAAGACAATTTATCTTCAATTTTCAAGAAAGAAAAACAGGGTCCAGCCTGGAGTTATAGAAGCCATGCAGCCAATCACAGTTTGGATCCTGGCTTCAGGCTGAAAATGTGCTGAGCCTATGTGCATGTGCCCAAGAATATGAAGAGCAAGTGTCCTGGGGAAAGGGGATTGCAGCATAATGACAAAAGTCTTCTCTTTCTCTCATGTGTTCATGCCTGTGGGTGAATGTGCTCTGTACTACATATAAAATAAACTTTAGGAAAAAAAAAAATAAAGAAAAATGTAGAAATGACTCCCTAGGATAGGTCTGGTCTTTCTGCTTTGAGCAGCCACAGCATCTCAACATCCCCTTATAGTCGAACTTACCCTGAATGGGGACTGGATGGCAGTGCGGTGGTCAAGTGTGAAGTTCTATGAGTCTGATCCACATGTGAGAGTTCTGGGTTTGCATCAGGAGGAGCTCTCCTTTGTACACCAACCACATGTACTCATGACCCAAGCCTGGCTGAGGCTTGGGGTAGATAAGAACATCAAGACCCTGATCGGGGTACTATTTCTCTTTCTTTATCTCTTGCTCATGAAAGAAATAAACAAATTTAAAATAGTGACGTTAACTATGGCCATTTACAATCTCTGAAAGATTTTATAAAGGTAAGTGACGTGCTAGTCTATTTTTTGTTGTTGTTTAATTGCTAGGGAACACTTGAGCTTGCCAGAGACATGGGGCAGGTGTAGTTATGTGGAGAAAAAGCGCCTCCCAATGCGGTGTGGTCATGCTGCAATCCCGTCTCCATTTCTTCATCCTGTTAGGATTTTGGAATACATACACATATGCCTGGTGTGTTTTTCAAGCCGTTGGGGCTGGGATTCAAAACACCGTCAGCTGTGTGGTATTTGGCTCCCTCAACTATTAGGCTATGGCCCTGGCCCTGTGCTAGTCTTACACACTGCTATCTAACCAGTTTGTCATGTTGTGCCTGAAAAGTAGTAGAAAATATCTGTCAAATGAATGAATGAAAGAAGTGAGTTTCACAGTAAGTTATTATTATAGGACTTTGGATTTCTGAGCTTCATTGTTGGCTTCATACCTTGTAGGGTTTCAGTCTTAAGCTTCTCAATCCTACTTTTAAGAACTGAATAATAGTATGAGTGAAATTCCATACCCCTCTAACCTTTGCCCTTTGTCTTCCTCTAAGCAGAGAAGTGATTAGGTATACCGGCCTGACCACACAAAGCATGGTCATCAGTTGTAGTTATACTTTAGCCAAAAGTGCTTTTGAGAAATGTGTATGGATGAGACAAACACAGGGAAGTAGACAATGCAACATCAAACAAAGAGTTAGACTATACTTACAGGGTGTGTGACTAGAAAAAAACACAAAAAAGAGATCTGGTCTGAGTTTCCACAGCCCTCTCTGAGTTCCTTGGATAAAGATACTATCTTCTTTCAAGATGGCTGCCAGCTGGAGCTGATGGAGAAGGTACCTAAGAATTGCAAGATGGCATCAGAATTAACAACCTATCTCTGTGGTAAAGAGCAAGCTCCTAGTTGGGTGGTAACTAAGAAAGAGTTGCTACAGACCAATGGGATTGGTAATGACTTGGAATTATGAGGAAATCTAGACCAGTGAGTCTCAAAGTATGGTTCCCGCACCAGCAGCAGCAGCAGCAGCAGCATCACCACCTGGGGGTTTGTTAGAAGTGCAATTTCTTAGGCCCTATCCTGGATCTGCTGAATCAGAATCTCGGGGGGTGAACCTACTTGGGTTTTAAAGAGATCTCTAGGAGATTCTGAAGCATATCCAAGTTTTAGAACCACTACGTTAGACCAAAGAGCTATGCAAAGTGTAGTTCACAGACTGGCATACTCTGAAATTTGTTATACTCTGGAACTTGTTAGAAACGCAAATTCTGGGGCCCCCTACTCCAGACCTGTGGAACCAGACTCTCAGGGATGTGGTTTTACCTTTGGAAACTTCTTCTGGCTATGACCTCAGCATGGCTATCATTGAGGATGTCTCCTGTGGCAAAGACAGCACACTAGATAAAGACACACTGAACCTGGAGAGGTCCTGGTTCCTAGAAGCAGAACACAGCAGTTCTCCCAGGATGGCTATGTATCACTTAGAGGGATCTGCCAGAAAGCATCGCCACTACTTATTTATTTTTTTTTAAAGAAATTTTAAAAAATTTTATTTATTCATTCATTAATTTTGACCAGAGAGAGACATACACAGACAGAGACAGAGAAAGAGAGAGAGGGAAAAGTGAGAAAGCAAGCCACCAGGTCTAGGACTCGAACTGCAGTTGGCAGTGTGGGAAGTGTCCAGTACCTTAACCACCACGCCACGTGCTGGTCCCAAGCATCACCGTTATTAATAGCAATACATTTACAGCAAGCTTTCTCAACTCAGCACTGGAGACCATCAGGCCAGAAAACTGTTGTAGGTATCTGTTCTATGCAACGTAGGATTCAGGAGCATCCTGGGCTCATTCCGCAAGATGTTAATGACCTCCCTCCCCAACTTGTAACTGAAAGTGTCTCTAGGTATTGACAAAAATTTTCCCCAGGGACACAAAACCTCCCTTAGCTGAGAAACACTAATTTATAAAAAAATCTTTATTTAGAGGACAGGAGTACAGATCTGTACCCTGATATCATACTTAGGGTCATGGTGATAAAATTAAATTTGATTCAATCCCTTGCTGTCCTGAAATAGCGTCCTCATACACAGAAAGCAAGGCTAATGGGGGAAGCAAACGCAAAGAAGAACCTTCTAGCTAGAAGCAGAGGTAAAGATCCTAGATCTATAAGGGACTTCCATACTCTTATTGGTGCAGAAACCTCCATTTAATTCCAGATTGTTTTTTTGCAGCTTCAGAAGTCACTCAGGGTGTTATCATCTGCCTGTTACAGAGCCACAAAACCTTCCAGAACAATGTGAAATAGCTAAGCCCAGAGAACCGCTGGTTTAACATGAAAACACTGGCTAGTTTTCAGTTTACTCAGAAAGCACATCCCTGGTGGTCTTTGCTTTGATGGTAGATTCCCACTCCTTATTTAAAGTACTGTCTTTCCAACCACACCAAAGGGTAGGAGGAGATGAAAGGTCAGTCACCTTAATAATAAGGCCCATTTTCCCTGAGGAGAGTAAAAGCAGTAATAAGGACACTACTCTGCAAAGATTCCAGAGAGATAGTCTCCGCGTAGACACCCCCACCTCCCATGCTTACCACTCTTCCTCATTTTGGACTGGCCTATGCATTTTGTGCCTGTTCCCATTGAGACAACTTCCTTTGTTGCTGGGGGGTGGAAAAAAAAAATCATTAAGTGAGCTCTCAGAGGTTGAATGTTCACCAGCACTCAAGTTTAATAAGTCTGTACCTTCTTCCAAATAATTCCCACAGGCCAACTCAGCTTTTGATCTTCCACCTTACAGGAGGAGTGTAGCACCACCTGGTGGAGATCAGAGTAACGTGCCTAACCATGGTAGTCGGCGCCTGGCTCAAACTGTCCATGTGTACCATCTATGACAGGGAGAAGTGCTCCAAGAGGTCTTGCCTTGCACTGGCTTACCAGGGTTGTCACAGGCCTGGTCAGCTGGACGCTGTATCTTCACCACAGCTGCCAACAACGTCCACTCACGATTCAGCTCAGGCTTTCCTTGCTTGGGCAACTTGATCTCATAGTGTTGGTAACACAGCTGAGCAATCTCATCTGCCGTCCACATGGTCTGAGCTGGTGCTGAGGTCCTGGTCCAAAACCACAACCACAAGAAGTGTGAAAAGGAGGACCAATGCAAAATGCCTGAGCTTTGCAATGGTGGCACTTCGACGGTCAAATGTAGTCCCATTGTGTTCAGACTGAAACTGAACTGAGTTTCTTGCAAAAACTCTAGGGACTATTTTCTCCTACTACCTCCCTTGTTCCCTTTCATCTTTTTTTTTTTTTCACCCCTAAAAATCACACCATTTCTTCAAACTGTTTTTAAAAAGGTGTTATATAACAGATGTATTCCCAATGAATCTTTATCTTACTATGCAACACAAAAGCATATGAAATGAAGTGTCCACACTACAATTTTCACTTAAAGATAGAATGTAAAGGCTAGAGACCACAGTTTGCTTTGGGTAGCCCCTCACCACACAAGGTTTCTTTCTGGACCAATGTTTTTTCTTTTCCAGGCATTTTACTTTGTTTTTCCCCCAAAACAGTGGTTCTTAATCTCCTTCTAGTACATCCCCACTGAGAGGTTTCTCACCAGTCAAGTGTTCTCTTCACAATTGTGTTTAAGGATTGGTCTTTGGAGTTGTCCTTTTTTGGTTCTGGGTTTTAATTCCAGTTTTGCCGTAAACTGTAATGTCAGGTAGGTTACTTAATCGCTCTGTGCCTCAGTTTCCTCATCTGTTAAGAGAGACAATAATAGTATCTAACCTATTATGGGTTATTATGAGGATTAAATAATATTTATAAAAAGCAATTACCACATTACGGGCCACAATTAATGTCAACTGTAATATTACAAAAATTAACGTTTGATGATTTTCCTGGCTATCTGCCTTGAGCTACTTGGGGTGGCTTGCCAATGGGAGGGGGGAAGACTGTAACACACACAAAGACATGAATAAAAAAATAATAAGCAGATCAGAACCAAGGAAAACCTAAAAGACCTTGCTGGAGACTCTCCCACTTTTGGATCTGTCAACACTTATGAGACTAATCCTGACCTAATTTGGATTCAATTATATGGAAAGCTTTGTAGTAGAAGATGAGGTCATATGGTGATGGACAGCTAAGCAGTATAAAACAAAAACAAAAAAAGCTTCACTGAGCCCCAGTGCAGGCAGCTGCTGAAAGTCGTTACTCCTACAATTAGCCCTTACTCCTCTCTGTAGTCAATGGTTATGCCTGTTTATCATAGTAAGTGCTAATGTAAACATGACTTAAAAATCTAGCAGGAACTTTGGTCAAAGAATCATGTCTTTATTTCTTGGAGTTAATAAGAGCATGAAAGATCCTACAGTCTTTGTTTAGAAGACTCCTTTCTGGAACCAATAGATGTCGTAATGGTTAGGGCACTAGACTCCCATTTAGTTGACTGCGGTTCAGTCCTGGATCTGGTGACTTAAAACTCATGCTGGGCGCTGTGCATGTGCACCCAAGATCCCGGGAGAAGAAAGAACTGCAGTATGGTCAATCCCCCAGGGAGTGAGTTCTCATTTTCTCTCTCCAGCAAGTGCATGCACCCCATAGGAAAAATCTCTTTCTTAAAAAAAAAAAAAAAGGTTCTCATTTCTAGGGAGGCACCATAAAACATATTTTATGAGGGCAGTTACCCTGCCATCAACTTGAAATTAAACCAGAGGTGCACATCACAGATCATCACAGACTAGGAGGGTAGAAATTGCCAGAAGAAAGGGTGACCGAGTTGAAGCAGCCCAGAGCTACATCTTCTTCAGGAAGCTGAGTCTAAACGGAGTTCTTCAAATGAATGCTTGATAGACAGGAACCATTATAACTAAGGCTAGGCCCTCCTAGTTCTTAGATAACTTCTTGAAGAACTCCACCATGGAAAACAGCTCAACTAAACAGCCATGTCTTTGGCCACGAGACTGCAAATTCCACCAGTTACAAAGAAGCCGAGCAAGCCCTTTCCTTTTCCGACGTTAAGTCCAGTAGGAAAAAAGGCATTAGCAGACGGGGAGGGCGCGAAGCCTACTTGCCCGAGGCCCCGGTCCTCGGCAACCCCGGAAGCAGAACCCCTCCTCGGCCAGGGTGGGCCTCGATTCTGGGTCTGAGCGAGACTCACGGGATCGGCGGCGTGCTGTAGCCAGGCCACACGGCGCGGTCCCGCTCTCCGCACAGCCCGGCTGACAGCCCCACACGTGGGGGCCACGTCCGAGAGCGCGCGGTCTTCACCTCTCCCCACAGCACGCGCGTGGCAGAGCTGGACCTGAAGACCTGACCCAGGGACCGGAGGACCCCTCTCAATCCCGCCCTCGGCCCCGCGACCTCGGCACTTCTGGGACACTCCCCCCGCACCTCCACCGCTCGTGCGCTTGGAGAGACCGAGACGAGCCCGGGACGCCGGGAGGACGTGACGCCGTAAAGCAAGTGCTCCGCCCAAGTCCCGCCCCACAGGCGCGCGGTGCACGCCGGTTCTCGTAGTCCTCGGACGCGTGAAGGTCCTGCGTCGCAGGCCTGCACCCTGCCGAGCCTTCCCTGGTGCGTCTAGGGACGCGTGAAACCGCCAGAAGGGTAGGCTGTGTGTTACGGTTTCAAATAGAACGAGATGATCTTGGAATACTAGTTCGAATCTCCGTCTAAACAGCAATGGCCAATAGAAACATAATTTGAAACATATATATGTAAAATACTCTAACAGACATATTAAAAAAAGAAACAGATGAAATCGGCCAGCAGGTGGCGTGGTTGTTAAGGTGCTGGGTTATCATATGGTCAACCAGGGTTGGAGTTCCAGACCTGGTGGCATGAAAATCACACTGGGGTGTGTGCGTGCCCACCCAAAATCCCAAGAGGAAAATGGGGAGAAGGGATCATGGAGCTGCTATTGGAGTGTGGGTGGATGTACGGATTTTCTCTTTCTCTGTTTCTCTCTGGCAAATGCATATGGACTTTGGCAAAACCTAAAAAAAAAAAAAAAGTGAAATAAATTTTAATAATTTATTTAACCTAATATATACCAAACAGTATTCTTTAAGTATATAATCAGTATTTTAAAAGTGTGGTGGTATTTATATTCTCTTCATACTAAGTTTAAGGAATCTGATGTGTTTTATACTCACAATACAAAGCAATTGAAACCCGCCACATTTCAAACACTCAGTAGATATATGGGCTGCCATTGCGGACAGCAGATCTAACCAGATTGCCAGATAGGTAGCACAGACATTTGGATAATTTAAGGAGCTGTTATCATCCAGCAATTGTATACCTCAATTATTAATTGTGAGAAAATTCATTTTTCTCCTTGTTACCCCTCAAAAGTTGGAGACAGAAGTGTAATATGCTTGACTCCATCCTTCTCTCTAGGTCAAAGGAAGAGGTCCACAGTCCTTTTCCAAGCCCTGCTCCTCATCTTTCTCTCTCTCTGACATCTTCAATCTGCAACTCAAAGAACGCTTGTGTTTTTGAAGAAACACCTACCCTGGTTGGGGAAATCATCTTCCAGGGTATTTTTAAAAAATCTTTTCCAGGGACAAGCATATAAATTTGGCTGCATAAGCTAAAGTGAGTCCCTTTTGACATTTCCTTTCCCTTAAGACCCACAATACAATCCATTACCAAGTCCTGTGGATTTCACTTCCTATCTCTTGGATCCAAGTGGTTTTCTTCATTTGCAAGAAAATACCCTAGCCCCAAACCACTTGTCTTCCTCTTGGATTGCTACACCAATCTCTGCATTCTCACGTCTTCTTGCTTAACTCCAATTCATTTTCCAGAGCAGCCAGAATGATCTCTACAAACTGCAAATGTGATGTCACCTCCCTGCTTAAATACTTCAGTGGCTTTCCAGCTTTTTTCGTTAGCTTTTACCCCATTTATCATGAAAGCACCCCTCTTCCCACAATCTGCAGAGGGTGGCCATGCTGCAGTCCCGTCTCCATTCTTCTCTCGTTATTGTGGGCACACACCCAGTGTGTGTTTCAAGCTGCTGGGTCTGGCCTTGGACTGCACAGCCAGCCATGTGAGCTCCACCTGTTTTAATCTTCATGCTACCTGCTTGCCCACCGCCCTTCTCTCATCCTGTCATTTTTCCTCCTAAACCCCACAGACAAGCCCTCTACTGCTGCTTCAGTTCCTCTAGCCCCAGCCTCCTACTGAGCAGCTCTTAGGTCACTCATGACCTCATCAAGTCTTGTAATCTATCAAATAGCCTTCGATGATGGTGTGCCTAAGTCTAGTCTCTTAGTCTTTTTTTAAAAAATGATTACTTAATTGTATTATTATTTTTAAATTTGCTACAGGATATGTACGCTCATTAGAGACAGAGGGAGGGAAAGTGAGACAGAAGCCTCCAAATCCAGTCTTAATCCCTACCCTCTTCCTTGGTGAGGTAATTGTCTCCATCTAATTACCAGCACCTTGCTGACATCCCACATTGAAGGGTTTCTTCTGAAACACCACCTGGTCATATACTGCTTAACCACTAGAGGGGTGAAGATGCTCAATGGCCCCTACTAGTTCTCAGGGAATTCTGCAAGTTTAGATCATTTTGCCAGTTACAGTAGAAACCTGCTCTGTGAAAGTAGGCTGGTGTTTTAGTCTGTTTCTCTGTTGCTAATGACGGGCAATTATAAAATATTTAGCTCACAGTTTTTGAGGCCTAAGGTCAAGGGACCACATCTGGTGAAGGTCTTCTAGAGTCCCAAGACTGTACTGGGGAGCACATGGCAAGAGCTTCCGTGTGTCTGTGTCTCCATACTTGTCTTATAAAACTACAGGGATGAAATTATGGAATCACACCCTGATGGCTTCAGGTAATCCTAGTCACCTCCTAAAGACTCCTCCTCCCCTCTCCCAGAGATTTTTGCCTTAGGGCACATGCACTCACCAGAGAGAGGAGAGACAGACAGAGACAGTGAGAAGTCACTGCCCAGTGGCCACACTGCAATCCCTTCTTCATTCTTCTCCCAGGATCTTGGGCACACATGCACACACACACAGTGTGAAGTTTTTTTTTTTTTTTTTTAAGAGAAATTTTTGATATACGGCATGTGTGCTCTCTGTAGAGACACAGAGAGACAGAAAGCAAGAAACCACTGCCCAGGGGTGATGGTCACGCTGCAATCTCTTCTCTTGTCTCCTCTCGGGATTTTGGGCATGCATGCACACGCGCCCAATGTGAGTTTGAAGCTGCCGGGTCTGAGACTTGAACTATGTGGGAGTCCAGCGATGCAACCATTATGCCATCTGCTCCCTGTCCCCCACCAACAGTGTGATTTTCAAGCCACTGGATCCAGGACTCGAACTGCAGTTGGCCATGTGGGAGTCCAGTGATGTAACTAATATGCCATTAGCTGGTCCTGACTCCACCTCTTTTTAAGTTTACTTATTCCTTCCATGAGTGTGCATGAGTGCAACAGAGACAGCACCCCCAACAGGGCCTTCAGCCTTCAGCCAGCATGTGACCTGGTACTCAGGGAGGTCTCCAGACTTTAACTGACAAACTTCCCAAGTGGAACTGCTTCGCAGTGTCATATTGCTGCTGCACCACTTCCTGGCCCACAAGATTTCACTTTCTTTTTTTTAAGATTTTTTTTTTTTTTTTGCCTTAGGGTGTGTGTGCTCACTCGAGATAGAGACTGTGAGAGGGAAAATGAGAAACCATACCCAGAGGGGATGGTCACGCTGCAATCCCTTCTCCATTCTCCTCTCGGGATTCTGGGCATGCATGCACATGCACCTATCATGATCTTCAAGCCACAGGTCTGGGACTCAAACCATGGTCAGCCATGTGGGAGTCCAGTGACATAACCGCTATACTATCTGCTGGCCTTAGATTCCACCTCTCAATGCCATAATTAAATAAAATTTCTACCTTCTTAATACCTTCACGACACGTGAATTTTTAGGGGAACACATTTAAACTGTAACAGCTGGCAACTCCCAAACTGGGACACTTGCACACGTTTTGCTGAGGCAGGTACAAAAGCAGTGTTTTGTCATGACTCATCTGATAAAAAGTCTTCTCAGCTGCCTCCAGGTCAGGAAGCAGGGGCACACTGGGCCATCAGCCACATGGTCACATTCCTATCCCTGCAGAGTTTAGTTCTTCTTTCCCACTGTGTAAGATAGCAGATGAAAAAGCTGCAGGTAGGATACTAAGGAGAAGAAACCTAAAGCCAAGAAAGCTGATGCCAGTGCAAAGGCTAAAAAGGGTGACCCCAAGGCTATAAAGCCCAAGGGGAAGCTCCATTGCAGCCAAAACCCAGTCCTAGTCTGGGGCATCAGCAGATACTTCCAGTCTGCCATGTATTCCAGGAAGGCCATGTACAAGAGGAAATACTGAGCCACTAAATCCAGGATTGAAAAGGAAAAGGAGGAAAAGGTTCTTGGACTGTCACAAAACCAGTTGGTGGAGACAAGAATTGTGGTACCCAGGTGGTTAAACTGTGCAAAACGCCTAGGTATTATCCTACTGCAGATGTGCTTCGAAAGCTGTTAAGTCACAGCAAAAAATCCTTCAGTCAGCCTGAGAAAGCTGCAAGCCAGCATCACTCCTGGGACCATTCTGATCATCCTCACTGGATACCACAGAGCAAGAGTGGTTTTCCTGAAGCAGCTGAGCAGTGGCTTGCAACTTGTAACTGGACTGCTGGTTCTCAATTGAATTCCACTGCGTAGAACACACCAGAAATTTGTCATTGCCACTTCCGCAAAATTAGTATTAGCAAAGTAAAAATCCCAAAGCACCTTACCAATGCTTACTTCAAGAAAAAGAAATTGCGGAAACCCAGACACCAGGAAGGTGAGATCTTCGACACAGAGAAGGAGAAATACAAGGTTTCAGAGCAGTGCAAGGTTGATCAGAAAGTTGTGGACTCGCAAATTTTACCAAAAATCAAAGCTGTTCCTCAGCTCTAGGGCTACCTGCGATCTGTGTTTGCCCTTACAAATGGAATTTATCCTTATGAATTGGTGTTCTAAATTTCCTGCCAAGAACCTAATTAAATAACTGATCATATTAAAAAAAATGTAATCCTATAGTCTGTGCCCTCCCCACACATCTCCCCACATCAGTGTCTCCAGATCTTTGCTTAAGCGTCATCAATCAGAGGTCATCCTGATTACTATACTGAACACAGTGCATCCACACCCACCTCTAAAATGCACCTGTCCCCTTACCCTGTTTTCTTCTGAGGATATACCACAAGACTATGTATTTACATTCTTCCCATTTGTTTAACCCTCTTCCTAACCCAAAGAAAGAATTTAAATTTCATGCATATAGGGACTTGGTTTTGTTTACTGCTATGTCCTCAAACCCTTTGAATAGCGGTCTTCAACCTTTCTGGCACCAGGCACAGATTTTGTGGAAGATAATTTTTCCACAGACCAGGGATGAGCAGATAGTTTGGGGATGATTCAAGTGCAT